GAAGCACCGAGGCTTCTCCAAGAGCTCCAGCTAACAGCTGTGCTTGTGCCTGCAGACCACGGCCATCGTGGCGGAGCTGGGGGCCCCTCGTCTCTCAGCGGTGCTGGGTGTGGAGCATGAGCAGGTTTCCCTGGCTGCCTGCAACCTCCTGCACGTGATGTTCGATTCCCTGAAGGAGGGGCTGCAGAAGGATTTCCGTGGCAAGGAGGACGCGGTGGTGCTGGGTGAGTGCTTGCTGCCCTGGCTGACTGCAGTGCAGTCAGGGAGCTGCCCGAGGAGGCGATGAGCAGCAGCAGGTCCTTCTCCCTCTGCCCGACTTGTCACTGCTCCCTGCTGCAGAGCCAGGGCTCCAGTCCAGGGTTGTCCAAGGTGGAGCCATGAGACAGGAGCACCTGGTCATGGCAGGATCTCCTGCCGGCCTTACCAGGGCAGGGGTGGGGCCTATGCCCAGGGTGCTGACTGCTGGGCACCATCTCTTCTGGAAGATTCCTCCAAGGACCTGAAGCTGCTGATCAAGCACCTCCTGGAGCTGCTAGCTCTGGAAGGGGCCTCTGCACACGGCCGCGACAACGCCCTCAACCTGCTCATCAAGGTGGTGCCCAGGAAGTCGCCGAAGGAGATCAACAACAGCATGAGCCTCTGGGTGATCGACCAGGGTGAGCAGGATGTCCTGCAGCGTCTTGCTGGGGCAGCACACCGCTCCGCCCTGCCTGTGCGCCCCACGTTACTCCTCGCTGGAGTGTCTGACCTCATGTTCTTCTAGGCCTGAAGAAGATCCTGGAGGTGGGCAGCACAGTTTGTGGCACCCCGGGCAGCCTGCCCGTCACGGAGAACAGCCGGATGAGTGCCTCGGTCCTGCTGAGCAAGCTTTACGATGACCTGAAATGCGACGCGGAGAGGGAGAACTTCCACCACTTGTGCGAGGACTATGTGAGGTGAGCGCGGGCATCGCTGGGCAGACAGCCAGCAGGCTCCTGGGGAGGAGCAGCTCCCCTAGCCCTGAACGTGGGCCTTTTGCTTACTGACAAAAGCAGGCTGTAGGGCTGCCAGGGACCTGTGCAGAGGATGGGGCCAGAGACCTGTTCAGGGGATGGGGCTGTGCATGGCTGGAGGTGGCAGTAGGGATCAGCCTTATCCTTCCTGGTGGTCTTCCCCTGCAGGAGCTGGTTTGAGGGGCAGGAGCTGACGGGGAAGCTGCGGGCCATCCAGACGGTGTCGTGCCTGCTGCAGGGCCCCTCGGACGCGGGGAACAGGGTGCTGGAGCTGGAGGGGATCATGGATGGCGTGCTGTCCCTCTGCGCCTCCGTCAGCGAGGCGCACCAGCTGGTGGCGGTGGAGGCGCTGATCCACGCTGCCGACAAGGCCAAGCGCGCCTCCTTCATCATCGCCAACGGCGTCAGCCTGCTCAAGGAGATCTACAAGCACAGCGAGAGGGACAGCATCCGTATCCGGGCGCTGGTGGTGAGCGCGCCAGGCCGTGGGTTGCTGCTGGGGGGGCTCTCCCAGGTGCC